CGCCGGGCAGCGTCATCTGGGTCCCTGTCAGAAGGTGCTTAGTCCCGGCCGCAGCATTAAGGGGCACGTGATGGGCTCCCTCGCCCAGGTCTTTGCACCAGGCAGCTTAGCAGCCTGGAGGGCCAGGGTTCAAGGGGACACCACCAAGGTCGGGAGGCCCCAACCCACACCCAGGTGGTTCCCAGCCCTTTGCAGGACCCTGCTCCTCCCCCCTGCAACCCCTCTGCCAGGTACAGGCTGAGCCCACAGGGTCTGAAAGCCGGGTGCCCCGGGGGCTGAAGTGACCGGTGAGCTACAGCACCCAGGCGAGGCTGCCACCTGGGTGTCACCCCCTTTGCCCTCCACGCTCCCACCAAGACCCATTTCCACGGGTCACCCCAAAAACCTGCCCCCCACCAGCCCGGGTTGCTCGTCTGGGGCAAGGCAGCAGCGCTCTCCCGTGGTCCAGGGCGGGAGAAAGGGAGCTCTCCTCTCCCCCGGGCTTCCCCCCGGAGCTCAGCCCAGCACCACCCCACATCCCCCCTTCGCTCTGCCCCGGGGCTCCCTGCATCCCGGCACACAGGCTGACCTCGGGGACCGCGCTGCAATAGTCCTAAAAAACCCAAAAAAAAAAAAAAAAAAAAAAAAAATGTTGCGAAAGGATCTCTGGTGGTCCAGCACCCGGAGAAACCATCGCCAGCTGATGGACTAAGAGTCTCCCTGATTGCGGGCACCATTTACCGTCAGAGGGGAGCAGGAGAGGAGCTTCGCTTCTCATAAAAAAATTACAAGCTGCGATTTCCAGCCTGCTCCCCTGTGTTATTTCACTGCATCGCCGGAAAGCCATCAGCTCCTGCCGACATAAAAAGTCTCGTCTTCAAGAAAGAACTTCTGCTTTCCTTTAATTTTAAATAAATCAACCTCCTCCCGGAAAAGCCGCCGGTCGGTCAGCCGTGCACAGACACGGCCGTAAAGGGAGAAGAAAGCAGCAAAGCCGAAGCCGAGCTGCTCCCCGGCTCCAGAGACAAAGGGAGAAAATAAAAGTTCGGCTTTTTTCTAATCCCTGGGCGCTGGGTGGGCACCGGGGGCGGCGGCTTTGTCCGCCCGGAGCAGACGGAGGACGAGGACGGAAGGGACCCCGGCGTTTCAGCCTCGTCGAGAAAGGCGGTAATTGTCCCCTCCGCCAGGTTTTTGTCCCCGCTTCCTCCCCCTCGCCACGCGGCCGCCCGCCCAGCGCAGCCCCCACCTCCCTAGCAAAGCCCTGGTGATGGACGGACGGACAGATTCAGCCACGCCACAGGCAGACCTAAGTACGGCACCCACCACCAGCACCTGCCCCTCTCCAAGGCATCCCAGGAAGGGTGTAGGTCGAGGGAGGCTGCAGCTGGAGGTACCCTCCCAGCTGGAGGTACCGCTTGCAGCTCCAGAGAGGGGCCAGAGGTGGGCCCCGTGCTCCTCAACCACCCTGGCCAACAGCCACGGACAGGACCTCGGGATGGCCAGGATTGCGGAGCCATGGGTGGTAGGAGCGATGCATGGGGAGTCCCAAGACACCCTTGAGGTATCCTGGTGTCTGAAACACACCCTGGGATGAGAAAAGCCAGCGGGTAGAACAGAGCCACCGCTCCGTAGCACCGTCGTGGGTCAGAGGGTCCAGCTGCAACCCAGTTCAAAGGCTCAGAAGAACAAGCACCACCAGAACAAGGTTCAAAGCAGCTCCATCCCCAGCGCCACAACACCCAACTCAGCTCC